TTGCTGCGGGAGGAAGCCGGAGGATCCAGAGGAAGCCCACGAAGTTGAACAGGCTACCTTGTTCCTTGTCACGTACAAGCGGGGAATCGGAACCACGACACTTGACTTAATAACAGCCCTGGTGATCTAACGATCACGTGATAAGCCGTTCACCCCCCCCCCCTGCGTGATAATTAAGACAGACATATGCCATGCAGTTTGCTATGGGGTAAAGCGGACTCTCCGTCCACTCGTAATCGAATACCATGTGTCGAGGATTCGATTACGTATACACGGGACCTAGGTTTTTTTGTACCCTACGAATGACCAGGCACTGTTCCATAGCTAGACCCTCCCATCTGAACCACGGACAAGGGGAATCCACGCTGAAGAAATATCCAGGTACTTTCTCGGCTCGGCCAACACTGAGCCAATGTGAATCAAGGCGTTAACTATATAAGTCAATCCTGTACAATTCAGCATCCGGTGTGCTCGAAACAGTAAGAATACCATGCCTCGTATACGATACCCGAAAAACTTTTAGCTATGGGTCCGACATCATTGACATCTTAGGAGCTAACGATACTTAAAGATACATATGAGAGAACGTGGATTCGTGTTTTAATGTGGCTGATTTATATTTAAAGATACATTATGGGAGATTAGATAAAGAGCTGACAGTTCTCACTATAATAGTTAAAAACTAGATACTGTAAATTGAATTTGCTGAAAATTTCAGTAAAATTGATCCACTCTGAACCGAGATTTTCGGCCTAGCTTCATTACTAAATTCGGTACGGTAAAAACATAGTCTCGATTATCCATTTCATGATTAAATCATGAATGAAAATTTAGCACTAAATCGGATACTAATCCAGTAAATATCACAGGCTAGCGATGCCATCTAGAGTTGATTATGGCCTGGATAAGTTCATTAATGTCTAATTAATAATTTAGATAACATTTCAAGCCTAAAGAAAAGACCTGCAATAGACAGATTTAGCTCCTGCATAATGTATTTTTAATTTTATAAAAGGCTATTTTCGTTATCAGTTTCAGTTATAAATTACGAGAGTATTCAATTTATCAGCAATCATTATTTTTAAAAAAACATTAAAACTGGTGACATTCATAAATTATCTGTGTTTAGGATTACACCCAGTAACCAATAAATCAGTCTATTATTTCTTTTAAACTCCGTCTTTAATACAAAACACAAATGAACGCTCAATTTTGATGCTAAAGGTCTCCGTGCGTCATTTGCTTTTTTGACAATTTGATTAAAATACAGATCTATATTTCGTTTCGTTTTTTATACTTTCGATGGCCTACACTACATGAAGATCTGACCGGTTGTGGGGGAAGGTCGCGTCAGGGGTCGTACAAGCGGCTTTTGACCCTATAACGTCAGACATTGATTAATCAATCAGCGTTGACGTTTCTGGTAGTTTACCCACAGTTCGCACGCCAAGAACTCTCCGTAACAGACCATTTCATTGGCTAATCCCTCACTTCAACCAGAACATGGGGTTATACAACAACTCTTCTATATCCTAGTGTAGTGAAGACAAGTAAAACGAAATTTTGAACTATAAAAAAACGAAACGAAATAGGATCTGTGTTTTAACCAGATTGAAATTTAAAATAGAAAACACAATCATAATATCAACGGAAGATAATCTCTCGGCTTGGATTAAACCGGATTATAATGAGAACGTTGAAAATCTACAGTGGCGCTGGTTTGTTGTGACTATATCCTATATATCGTCTGGTGGCCGTCAGGGGTTGATAAATTTTCAATTCACCATACCTTTATCATTACTGAAGAAAAATGGATCATTTGTGGGATGGACTGATATTCCTTTAGAGAATCAACTTTCACATTATTGTAGTTTGTTCTGGATTAAACGTCAGTCGGGGGGGGGGGGGGAGGGGCAAATGGTTAGCACGTGCGCGCTGTATCATAAGGTCTGTCATTGAGTCAACTGGCGTGGTTTCGATTCCCCGGTTGTACGCGACAAGGCGTAGCGTCGCCTGTCTAACCTCGTGGGTTTTCTCCGGGTTCCTCTGGTTTCATTCATCCCACTGCTAAATAAAGACCCCTACGCGCAAGCGAATTATTGAAATAGAATTGAACCATTTGTTAGTCCCGAACTGACGTCGAGTGGATGTTAAACTCCCTCTCTCTCTCTCTCTCTCTCTCTCTCTGAGTCAGTTGTTGGTGTTAAGATTATCTTATCTGAGCTGTATATCTACACTACTAGGGATTATCTTAAAACTAAGAGATGTTTCATGTAAATATCTAGAAGTTTTATTATAACAAGTGTTAGATATAGTGATTTTATTACAAATAATAACATATTGACACGATAGAGAGGGAAATATAGTTTAATGTCCACTTAACACAAACACGTGGATTAGTAAGTACAGGGGGACCACAGTATACATAACAAACTAATAAATGAGTACAGGAGGACCACACTACAACACAACAACAGATTAGTAGGAACAGGGGGACCGCCCTCACACAACAAACTAGAGGAGGACCACACCACACATAACAACAGGAGGACCACACTACACACAACAGACTAGTAGAGTAATTGGTACAGGAGGACCACACTACACATAACAACAGATTAGTAGGAACAGGGGGACCGCCCTCACACAACAAACTAGAGGAGGACCACACCACACATAACAACAGGAGGACCACACTACACACAACAGACTAGTAGAGTAATTGGTACAGGAGGACCACACTACACATAACAACAGATTAGTAGGAACAGGGGGACCGCCCTCACACAACAAACTAGAGGAGGACCGCACCACACATAACAACAGGAGGACCACACTACACACAACAGACTAGTAGAGTAATTGGTACAGGAGGACCACACTACACATAACAACAGATTAGTAGGAACAGGGGGACCGCCCTCACACAACAAACTAGAGGAGGACCACACCACACATAACAACAGGAGGACCACACTACACACAACAGACTAGTGGAGTAATTGGTACAGGAGGACCACACTACACATAACAACAAAAGGAGGATCACACTACACATAACAACAAACTACTGGAGGACCACACTACACACAACAACAGGAGGACCACACTACACACAACAGACTAGTAGATTAGTTGGTATAGGAGGACCACATTACACAAAACACTCTACAGGAGGACCGCACAACACATAACATTACAGGGGGGGGGGGGGGCCCTACACACAACAGCAAACTAGTAGACCGAGGACCACACACGTACCACAATAATAATCAACACTATTTATTGTCTACTTCACATGTTCAGGTGGACCACACCACAAACAACAGCGAACAAACAAAATCATAGCTGGTGCATATGGTCCAGAAAAAGATCATTCGGGATATTCTCCATAAATTTATCTTTTCTGTTGTTTTTAAAATATGTTGCGGCAAGTGAATAAACATAAAATCTAAATGTTTTTATACGCTGAAACCTTTACTTCAACATAAAATCATTTTAATTATACATGTTTTTCCTCTGAGCACAAATTTTGTGAATTGATTTTTGTAAATTTCAAGCTTTGTTTGGGTTGTTAACAGAAGTGGATTAAAAAATTCCATGCCGTTAAACCTGATAAAGATAAAGGTGGTGTTAAAGGTCTGGTTTTATTGAACTTTGATCATTCTGAGAGAGAGAGAGAGAGAGAGCGAGAGAGAGAGAGAGAGAGAGGGAGGGGGGTGTGAAGAAACCCCACGAGGTTGGACAGGACTAACATATGGTTCAATTTATTTCAATAATTCGCTTGCGCGTAGGGCTCTTTAGCAGTGGGAGGAACCAGTGTCAAGGATAGTGTTTAGTCGTTCAGATGGGACGAAAACCTGAGGTGCCGTGTGCATATTGACATGCGCCTAAATGAGCACCTGGCAGTTGGAATTCGATATAAGAGTAGGTAGTAACGCCGGTCTTCGTTAGTTTAGTCGAAAGCTAGGACGCTAAACACCATTTCATTTTCAATTAATAAATCAAGGGGGCATTATGTAAGATTTGGATAAAGAATTGACCGTTCTCGCAATAATATTTTAAAAAAAGAAAATGCAAAATGGATATATTGAAAATTTCATTCCAATTACTTTATTTTAAGTTACGTAATCAACGGTTGTAGTTTTCACACGATGTGTGTATTGATCGTAACCACCGCACTGGTCATTGTAGTCTTAGCCTCGTTTCTCCATATTTAAATTGAATCATTAAATGACCGAACCATTCTAATCTACTTAACTTAAAATCGGAGCCATCCTAAGGCATGGAGCGTTGATTATGTTCTTGTCGTGTTAATTAATGTCTAATTAATAATTTATATAACATTTAAGGCTCATAGAAAGACCAGCAGATTTAGCTCTTGCATAATAGAAGTTTAATTAGTCTCATAATAAAGTAATTTCTTAATGAGATGTTCAACCGTAATTCGTTTCGTTTCTTTTTATCATTCTTCACGCCTTTCTTCGCGATGTTATATTTTGTCAAGTCTGTTTTTTCAGACTGTTAGACTCTCTCCATTCTTTTAACCCAGTTAAGAAATTTCTTATCAACTCGAGGATTTCGATCTTAAACATGTTCACTTTGAACAGAGCTGATGACAAAATAAAAAAATATCTAAACGACTGCATCTCTTAGGTGACAAATGGTGCAAGGTTACCGTTGTGGAACGTTGCCAAATACAACAACTAGCTAGCAATGAAAAACCCGCAAATTTAACATTTTCAATTTCAGGTCTCGATATATAATGTCTGACGCGACATTATTGAAAAATAGCAAATGTATAGAATACTCTTAATAGATCATCTAATCGATATTAATTAAAGTAGGCCTAGATATAAATTACGTCATTTTGATCCACGTCCAGTTCATTTGATTTATTTCCAAATCAAATAAAATTATCGATTGCCGAAAGGTGATGGGTTAATGTCAAGCCAAGGTTACAAAATGGATGTCTGGGTGAAAGTTAAATTGAAACTTACCTGAACTTTGATTAAAAATATTAGAAAACTTATCCACACTAGAGACCACATTTTTATACGCGCACTTTTACACTCCATTGCTAGATACCTATCTATATTTTATCTACGTATCTGTTCGCTTCAAAGTAGATTTTTAAACGCAGAAAACGATTGGCCGGCACTTAACATAAACATTACAAGGTAGTCAGGATTGAGGAGTTATTCCTTACACACAGGTCAGCATACACCACACTACACGGCACTGGATGATTTAAACACAAGAGATAAATTAACAAGAGTTTGTTCTACGGTGAAATAAACTTGTATATATCTCTCTGTTATTCCGTCATGCGGACAGTGCTGATTGAACACGCACTTTGCCACTGCACGTTCCACCGTTAAGGTAGTTATATGCGCACCGTGCACAGGTCACGATGGTGTTACGTCTATCGGCTAAACGGTTAGGTAAAAAGTCTCGATGAACATTTCCCTGTCGTTGCTGTAGGATATATATTACACACGAGTCTCTTGTCGCTATATAGTTGGTTAGTTTCTAACGGATGAAATGATAAATGTTTCTTGCACTGTTTTATGTGGAGTTATTATTGTACCAGTCTGTTGACTATAATGTCATTGTATAACTGTATCACCTATTTCTAACACCTTATCATAAACAATAAAATTACAACCATACAAGATTTTAAATGATCAGTAAAGAGTCAGTCCGCTCATATAACAGGTGTATCGTCAGTATTTCTACACAAATTCGGATTTATGTTTAAAGATTTTCTGTAATTCCAATTAAATTTTTTTATCATTCAAATCACGAATTTCTATAATTCTCGAATTTTCTATAATTCACGACTTTCTATTATTAACGACTTTCTATGAATTTCTATATAATCTACGAATTTTTATAATTCACGAATTTCTATAATTCACGAATTTCTATAATTCATGTCTTTATGTTATTCAAAATTTTCTATAATTCTACTCAATCTGACGATTTTCTAGAATTCTAATCAAGTTTGACAATTTTCTGCAATTACCATTGTGTGCTAAAGACAAACTGGAAATCAATCAAAATGAGGTCGGAATAAAACGCACCAATTTTTTTAGGGTTTTAAAATATGTCATCCTAATTACATAAACATAAGCAAAAGTAAAAAGCCGTTTGTACGAATGGTTTACAGAAGACGTTTGAACGAATGGTTTTACAGAAAACGTTTGAACGAATGAACGAATGGTTTTACAGAAGACGTTTGAACGAATGGTTTTACAGATTTCGGAATGGGATGTTGACATATGGGCTTTTTGGACAATTTTACTGCTGAAGATGCTTTAAATTGGATCCCTTGCAACTTTATGAATGAGCTGAACACTGCAGTTGGATATTATCTATATTACCTTTCTGGTAAATGAAATGGTGTTTAACATTCTACTGTTCTGCTCTGAATTGGGCTATTGAAGATGGCCATACAGTGTGCTATGAGGGAAATTTTGCCCGGACAGCGGCACTACGGTCTAATCTTAGATCGAATTCCAACTGCCAAGGGTTCTTTTACGAGCACGCCAATGGGTACACGAGACCTCGGTTTTTTCGTATTATCTCTCTCTCGCTCTCTCTCTCTCTCACTCTCTCTCTCTCTCTCTCTCTCTCTTGTCGGTGAAGTATCCCTTTAATACGTTGATAAAAAACACGACGGCCATTGTAAGATAAGGTTTTTTATCAGGTGTTTGCTGTATGTTCTAGTCACGTGATCTAATCAATATGGTACAGATAACTGGACTATACGGTAAATTGATTTACCATGTAACCGTTCCTTAGTCGGCTAAATCTATTTGTTAAGGCCAGCTCAATTTTCGTCATGGTCGCCTAGATGTTAATAAGGTTAGGGCACATGATTGTAGGCGAGATTGTTGGTCAGGGTTAGGGTTAGGGTTATAGTAAGCATTGAGGATAGGTCCAGGGCTAGGGGTTGGGATTAACACTGGACCTGTTTAGATCCCGAGACCTAACCTATAACGTAAAATTGAGCTGACCTTATCATTTAGTGCTAAGCCTGGACTGTACGGTAAATCGATTTACCATGTAACTAACGTTCCTTGGTCATTATTCGTAATAGAAATGAAATTGAGTTTAACGTCCTACTGTTCTGCTCCGACTGGACTAATGAAGACGGGCATACACCATACAGTATGCTATGAGGGAACTTTTGCCCGGACAGCGGCATCGGGGCTTACTCTTATATCGAATTTCAACTGCCAAGGAATCTTATTACTAAGAAAAGTTGTTACCAAGAAGCGCTGTTCCCAACGGGAGTTGTTACCAAGTGGATTTATTACCAAGGGCAGTTGTTACCGAGAAGAGCTGTTACCAAGGGCAATTGTTACAAAGGGCAGTTGTTACCGAGGGAGTTGTTACGGAGAGGAGCTTTTACCAAGAAGATGAACTATACAAAAGTGCTGGTCACGGTTTACCCGAATCAAACTTGCATTTGGTTAGTATAATACGCCAGTTGTGGACCCTTTTATACTACTGGCAGTACGTTAAAGATCCCCCGACAATTGGAATATCACGAGTAAGCATACACTAGATCCCGCACGACACTTGCTATTACTTATAACTGAATGATGTGATGAGTTGGTTTAGGATTCAGACGATATAATATATGCATGTCAAATTAAAATTTAATTTATAAACATTTGAACCCTTGACAGTTGGAATTTGATATCAGAGTAGGCCTCAACGCAGCTGTCCGCCATCATAAGCCAAGACCAAGCAGAACAATAGGACGTAAAATCCTACTTCATTTCATGGATTTTTTGTAAAACATTTTTTTGTTGTTATTTTTGACATGTTAACATGTGCGTAAACGTTATAAACATATCTTTATTCATAACTTTTGTTATAACAATAAAAGACCAGAAAACAGTTTCTGTATACAAATCATTTAAAGCGTCCCAACAACAAGACGTATATACATTCAAACACATACACACATTCAAACAGTACTGAAATTCACCTTGTTGTTATATTTTATTTAGATAAAGCTGGATAAAGATAAGAAAAGCGGACATAATTATATTTAATGTAATTGTTATTTTATTAAATTCTGTAATTGTATATGAAATGAATTGAAATAGAATGGGGTTTTACGTCCGTCGTTTTTTCACGTATATTAAAAGACAAGACATGTACACATCAATTCATTTATAAAATAAGATCTCTTATAATTTAATTTTTATTGTTTTCTTCGAGAGTATCTAATTACTTCCTTGTGAGCTTTCTTTTAATAGTAAGTTTGGCCATTATGATTGGGCTAACACTTTAAACCATTCATAGCTAGTACGCATGTCAATTAAACAATGCGTATTGGTAAAGAGAAGAAGGTCGTAGTTAAACCCCATTTCATTTCATTTCAACTGAACACCAACTTACTGTAACGTTAGTAAATTTAACGTTAATACAGTTAAATTTTGAAGCAAAATGGAACAATACAAATACTAGAATACTATTAGCTAGAGAGAGAATGATGAATCCATAATTGGCAGTAGCTAAAGATTTTATTTGTCCATATTAAATTTAACAATACTATAACAGTGTCGTTTTTGTTTTCCATGGCACCAAATGCAGTATGATAAATCGAATGTATTTCCACGGGGTTTTCCGGTGTGGTTTCCCCCTGTCAATAGTGCAGGCTGGAGGGCCTAAAAAGGAATAATATCTATTTTTTCTGGTCGGACGAAAACTCGATGCCCGGATATTGGCCAAGAAATTTACTCGAGATTTTCCTGCATGGTTTCGCCCTTTGTCAGTGGTACAGGCTGGAAAGCCTGACAAGGACAGCTGTCTAGTCGTTCGGACAGGACGAAATACCGATTTCCCGTGTACACATTCGCATGTACGTAAAATAACCCTTGACAGATGGAATTCGATATTAGAGTAGATCGTAGCGCCGGTGTTCGGGCAATAAATTACCTCATAGCACACTGTATGGCATATGCCCGTCTTTATTAGCCCAGGTTAGGAGCAGAACAGTAGGACGTTAAACCCCATTTCATTCCGTTTGTATGGTAAGTTGTAGGACGTTAAACCCCATTTCGTTTGTATGATAAGTTGTAGGACGTTAAACCCCATTTCGTTTGTATGATAAGTTGTAGGACGTTAAACACCATTTCGTTTGTATGATAAGTTGTAGGACGTTAAACCCCATTTCGTTTGTATGATATGTTGTAGGACGTTAAACCCCATTTCATTTGTATGATAAGTTGTAGGACGTTAAACCCCATTTCATTTGTATAAGTTGTAGGACGTTAAACCCCATTTCATTTGTATGATAAGTTGTAGGACGTTAAACCCCATTTCATTTGTATGATAAGTTGTAGGACGTTAAACACCATTTCGTTTGTGTAAGTTGTAGAACGTTAAACACCATTTCATTTGTATGATAAGTTGTAGGTCGTTAAACCCCATTTCATTTGTATAAGTTGTAGGACGTTAAACACCATTGCGTTTGTATGATAAGTTGTTGGACGTTAAACACCATTGCATTTGTATAAGTTGTAGGACGTTAAACCCCATTTCATTTGTATGATAAGTTGTAGGACATTAAACCCCATTGCATTTGTATGATAAGTTGTAGGACGTTAAACCCCATTTCGTTTGTATGATAAGTTGTAGGACGTTAAACACCATTGCGTTTGTATGATAAGTTGTAGGACGTTAAACACCATTGCATTTGTATAAGTTGCAGGACGTTAAACCCCATTTCATTTGTATGATAAGTTGAGGATACTAGTGCAAGAAGGTGAACAAGTGCCATTTCAAAATCTGCTAAAAATTGTATTTTTGGATATTTTTAGACCAGAACAATAAGATTGACATATTATACTGCGATAAAAATAATAAAATGATAAAAAAGGAATAAATCTTTTAAAAATGGATTTATTTGAAAAAAAAAAAAAAAATTTTGTTAAAAACAACGACACTTGTTAATGTCCACATTGCTCTAGCATCATCAATTGTTGTATGGGGGTTTTTTGTACTCAATATGACGACAACAGGACGTTATCAATTCATAAGTGTTAAAAATGATTCATGTCAGAAGTAAGACGTAAATATATTATCAATTCTTGTATTTGGTTTAAAGGGAATGAAATGAAATGAAATGAAATGGGGTTTAACGTCCTATTGTTCTGCTCCTGACCGGGATAGTGAAGACGGACATACGCCATACAGTGTGCTATGAGGGAAATATTGCCCGGACAGCGGCGCTTCGGCCTACTCTTATATAGAATTCCAACTGTCAATGGATCTTTTACATGCACGCCAATGTGTACTGCGATGACGTCATCTTCGTTTGCATTCCCACCGTACGCTCGTATTTGTTTATTACGGGGTTATATTGGCAACGTGAGGAAGGAGAATTTGGTCGGAGAGTGGCGTTTCCGGTTACAGTTTTTCACTTTCCAACCACCAAGACGATTTAAATGAGGCAAATTTAGAGCATTAATCTACCATTAGCATCCAAAGAGACTTGATGA